ATCTCCAAGAATCTTTAATAAAGATCAATGTATGAGTTCTAAAAAAAGAAATGGGGTGAAAAATTTTCAAAGAAGGAGCCTCCTTGAAAAAACACCCATTCATCAACATAAACGAAGGTTCGGGGTCTAATCGTTGGCGGTGTAACGTTTCTTGTTTGGTTTTTTGGACGAATTGGATTTTAAAGAACGTCCTCACCCCATTGAACCACCATGGAAAAGTCAGAGAAAAAATAATGATCTGAAATCCAGATTTTGGGAAAGCATCTATAAACTGTTGTAACCCGCATCGATGTTCAGAATGAAGAAGTTCTTGAGGCCAATAATATAGAACAGGGATTAGGGAAGAGGAAAAGAAAACCTGAGAAATGCCGGTATTGATCTCAAAAGACAAACTAAGGAAGAAACAATGGCCTTTGATATATCTAGAAGATTGTCCTCGAAGATGAAATTAAGGTCTAAGAAAAGGAGTCGAAAATCTCCGGACCCTGGGTCACATCCGGAAGAAGGGATACATCCGGTCAACGTCGGAGTTTTGTCCGGCCCGATTCATGATTGATGGACAATGTTTAAATCAATTTTTGCGGAGTTGTTCCTGAACATATGTAATTCCAAATAAAACACCAAAATTTTCGAATTATTCAATAGGTTTTATATTTTGGCAATGAACTCTTCAGAGTTTTTTTATATAGTTTTGTGAAAAGTACAACACTATATAGTAGAGAAGTCGAAAAGCCTTGTTTTTTGGCTGACCCCCACCACATATATCATACCGGTTTTCCCGCCTTGCTAGTTCTTATGTTTACTGTTTTTTTGCAATGTCGGGGTAACCAGTGAGACGACTCTTTCAACTCAGGTGGCCTAACTCGTCTAGAATCAGGTCAAGCCTGCTTGGAGCCGATATGATGCAAAACCCGAAATGGCCCTTGAGAACAGTGCATCACTGAAGACCACCCTTGATGCATCTAAAATTTATGATTTAACGATATATTCTGAATTAAATATATTTAAAAATATATATAAGATGTATTAACAGAAAAAGATATTGTCTGGCAAAAAAATATTGAATTAATCATTTCAGCGACGAATTATTAAATCAAAATTTAATTCAAAATCGACCTGCTGACGTCTTCAAGAAATATATTTTGTCAATCGGAAAATATAAAAATTTATAAAAATTTCTTGAAGAAAGTTTATTAGAAAGAAACGAAAGAAAGTTGAAATAAAAAACAAAAGAAAAAAAAAAATAAAGAAGGATAATTTTTTCGATTAATTGTTTTTTCTTATATATTTTCAACCTTTTATATATCATTTAAAGCCATATATTATATTTATATTGTAAGAATGTTTTAGAGAAAATAATCGATTTACAATTCCTACTAATTAACCTATAGATGAAAGGGTGGATTCCTACCTTTTCCAAGAGTATTTGTACGTAAGCATAACGAACCCGACTGGAATGGTTACTAAACAATCCGTACACACAAGCTGATATATACTGGATTTTGGTGGCTATTTAGGTACTGACTATACTCAAAGTAGACTAACTTCGGTAAATTCCGATAACGGGTGTTTCAATGTATTTAGGCGCTAAGCCTAATTTTGTTGGAAGAAAGGTAAGATAAAAGGCAAACAGAAAAAGGTCATTTTGTTTGAAGAAAGAATGAAAAAAGAGTCAATTTTGTTTGAAGAAAGAATGAAAAAAGCAATTTTGTTTGAAGAAAAAAAAAGAAAGAAAGAAAGAAAGAAAGAAAGAAAGAAAGAATAATTTTGTTTGAAGAAAAGGAAATTTTGTTTGAAGAAAGAAAGAAATAAATAAATAAATAAAGAAATATATATATATATTTATTTGAAGAAAAGGAAATTTTGTTTGAAGTTTAAAAAAGAATAATTTTTGAAAATAAAGAAAGCAGCAAGTAATTTCCAATATGATAATATGAAAAAAATATAAAACCGTCACAAAAATATTTTGATGAATTTCAAAAGATGGAATGAAATAATTAATGAAAAGAAAGAAGGAAACTCAGTAAAAATATTTCTTAGAGACCAGAACATTTTAAGGAATTTTTAAAGCAACAGACGCCTTAAATTAAAAAAACTTTCAATTTATTAAATATACGCATCTCCACTATTTTTTAGAAATTTTCTATATTTAAACTTTAAAATAATTTTTTATTTGAAAAAATTCTTGAAGATTTCATTTTAGTTTAATTGAAAGTTTAATAATTAAATTTTTTATTTCATTAATTAAACCAATTCTGATGTATTTCAGATAGAAACTATATACATTTGATTGTCAAATTTAATTTCAAATTTTTAAATTTTCTTAAAACGGCCATTTTTATTAATTTTAAGAAATTTGGTAAACAAAAAAATTTATCGATTTTCTCTATATTTAAAAAATTTCTGACACATTATTTTAGTAAAATTAAAAAACTTAAAGTTTAAATAATCTTTTATTTGAAAAAACATTCTTGAAGATTTCATTTTAAAAATAATATAA